CACCAATTTTTTTATTTAGTTCTCGGTGCCATTTTCCTTGTATTTTATGCACTAGAAATTTAGTTTTAGTTTTTTCGGAAGGGACTTTTTCATTACATGCGTCGATTGAAGGCATTGGTCTTTGTTGCTTCCTCTTTCGTCTTCCATCCCTATCCTCTTTCGATTCCGTTTTTACTCGTTTCGATTTTAGTGTTAAAATTATTGCCTAAGTGTCCTTACATAATATATTTGGGTCAAAGTGTTGATGAATCGTTCGACTGAAAATGTGTCTACATTTTTAAGCTCTTTCCAACTCCTATCGTGACATACACTAAAATCTCTGTATCATTATAGTTTTGATGTTCTTTGGAACCTGTCCCTGAGTGATATCCTCTACAGTCCACCTTTATGAGGGTGTCAGATTCAAATAAATTCTGTTTGCTGAAACTATGAAACCTTGTTTTCCGCTCTATGCAAAACTATTCCGTTCCGTCCGCGATGTTCGTCTGTTTAAGCTTCCCGACGACACGGCAGAACAAATGTTCTCGGTCGCCATTCACTGCGACTAGAAATAATGGATACAAAGAAGTAATGTATTTTCCACTTGAATTTGAACTCTATTAGCTTTACAAGCAGTTCATACAGAAGTAAGATGATAAACAAAGCTTGCCTATAAAAACAAGCGATCAAAATGTAGAAATAGTCGGTAAAAATGGGCTGCAAATACTCACGTTTTCATGTTCCCTACAAACGGGAAAAATGTCCTCCTCGAGTAGAAAAGCGGGAAATGTCAGGTCACGTGACCCTCTCTGCCGTTCGCGGGAAAAAATACGTGGTGCTTAATCTCTCTATTATCTATTGGCTTCCTACGACAAAAGCGAATCAGTGTGACGCATGCATCTTTATATTCCGAATATAAGTCCTGAGGAACCACGCAATTGCGACAAGACATGCTGAGAGGATAGAACATTGTGCGTTACTATGCGTGAATTATCCCGGCTGCCATAGCTTTCATTTCTATCAGACGCACAAAATATGTGATCTCAATGACAAGACACATACTTTTCATCCTATGGATATGATTCCATGTGTATTTTCAAACTACATGGAGAATATCTTCACACCATACCTGTGCAACCAAGAATCGGAATGTGGCGCGGGGTTACATTGCTTACCATTAGAGAGGATATGTGGTAAGACTGGTAAGTCTCCCTGCAGTTTTTTTTTTTTTCGTAGTTAGAGAATCCTAGCATAAAGTCATCAGTCAGAAATTTAAACCAGTTACGAAGTCATATAGTATCCTTCTCCCTATTTGGTATGCCCTAAGACGGAGGAGAACGTCATATGTCGGTTTTGATTTTGAACGAGGACTTTAACCTCTGAATTGAACCATGGACATAAACTATAAATCTGGGCTTACCAAAGGAGACATGGAATTCAAATAGAGTGTATGATGTAAAATTTAAGCTTACTCGGAAAGCATATATTTTGATCGTCTAAAGGGTCTCAGCCCACTAAAGCAGATATCAGTCTAAGGACTTATATTTGGAGGAAGTATATGGAAGTTATACTTCATATCTGTGAACTGACGGTCAAAGTGCAGGTGTATAAGACTACCTGATATTTACTTTATGATAGCTCACCTAGATCTTTTAAGTCAATAGTTCATTCTTGGAGCTGAAAGGGAGAGTGTATGCGAAATGGGAGAAATGATTCGGTAGAATACTTTGACATACACATGTATATGGTATTAGATAGGGGCAACAGACTACTTTGCGAAATGGTTAAAAGTACCGAGTAACTACAAACGAGCTTGAAGGAGCACTTCTAAAGGTTTTTTTCGATTACATGCACGTCTTCTAGTGTTGCCTTTGAAAACGGGTTTATCATCATTGTCACTTACACGTGTTGTTCACCTGTAATTCAGTTTGTCATCGTCGAACAACTTATAGAAAGTGCTGCGCCATTCCCTTCCAGTACAAAGGCGTGACATACAACTCCTCAGCAATGTTGATCACGAAACATTGTGGTATTCACTGGATCCAATTTACGCCTCTAGATGGGGTAACTGCCAGCGTTAAGTTATCAATAGTAGGTAAATTAACACAGGGCCACATATATATGCCATAAGTGATTTTTCCGTTCGCAGTTGCCGTTAAACACAATAGTGAGTACAAAATGATAGCTTCTTCGGGAATGAAAACCTTAATGAACGAAAATGAACTACACAGGAAACTATGTTAAGCAAAGATACATACGATTAGCACAGAGTGCACAGCTAATCGAATTCGGGCTAAATTTCACCGGTGCACCTTGCATAACACATTATTATTTGGACTACAGTAAACAAATTTTAAATTTTCTTAAGTTGGAAGGCGTTTAATAAAATTGATTATATTTTCATGTGGTCGGCTTAGAAGGAGCCTAGTGAGCTCAGTGATGGACAATGTGCTCACTGAAGGACAAGAAATTCAACCTCTATATCCCTCTTCTTTCTTCCTCATGGCCTCCCTTCAATGTCATGTATCCATTCAATCTGTAAAGCCTAGACTGCCTAGACCTTTGTCTACAACCCTTGCCCATTTCATTTTCTTATACATCGGTCTATGTGGCAGAACTCCACTGGAGCAGCCAGTAGAGTTCTGCCACATAGGGTGATTTTGTTACTGGTAGTGAATCCTCCAAACGCTCAGTTGAACCAAAATGTCATAGGTAAATGAATGATTATCGTCTATATCACTTAAACAAGAACATGTAAATAAAATGTAAGTAATATATTGCTGTTGGATATGGCAGAGATATAAATAAATTTTGCAAATAGAACATAAATTTCGTGCCTGAAAGGAGCCCTTTGTGAGACTCGCTACCAAATCGAAGAAATAATTTTTTTAGCCGCAACAACAGTGGATACATAAGCACATAACTCTTGTAATCCTGGTTAAGGAATGTGGATTTCTGTGAAGATTTCTTTAGCATGCTATGGATAAGATAATCAAACTGATTTGGATCCCGATACAAGCTTAAAGTAAATTTAAATCGAGTGTTACATCAACTTTGTGCAACAGCTCTTCTTAACTTTGATGTAGCGTCAAGCAACTTATAGCAGGTGTACCCACTTGGATGGGGTGCTAGTTCATCAAAGACGGCCCCGGCATACTTTTACCCATTTTTGATTCCTGGGTGGAGAGGGGCGGCGCAAGTGTGAAATATATTACTCTAGAACACAAAATGATGATCCGGCCGGGACTCAGACCTGCACCTTTCGAGTCCAGTTCGTAAATTATAGAGCCACCATCTTCCTATGTTGATATGATTGCTACTTTGTCATCATTAAAATAAAAATTAAATTTTTTTCCCAAGATTTGACTCGTCTCGCTTGGTTGCAAACTACTATACGGAGTACTAGTGTCAAAAACCTTAAGGGTTACCTTTTTAATATAATTTGATTATTTTAAGTTTAAATAATCAAATTCTTACGCAATTATCCATGTCAATTTTGAAATCTGTATGTGACTACATTTTATAATCCTATTTTGCGAAGTGCAAAGGCTTATATACCATTTTAATAACTATTAATATTAGATACAATAAATATATTTACTGCGAGGATCGTGCATCATACGTAACTATTAATATTGTTACAACTATTGCTTTCAGATTTTTTTTTTGAGGGCCATTAGGTTATCAGTTTTATTGCTGACAAATGTTACCCTCATTAAATAAAGTCTTATTTACTAACTTACTAACTGTAATCAAGCCCACGTGAAATTGTTACAAACAAGCTGCCGCTATGCTCGGCACTTAGAAATTGTAATTTGCTAACTCTCCAAATGGTGATTTTAAAGGGGAAGCTTATTGCTTCCGTTTCTCCCTGCTATTGAAATAATTACATTTTGAGAAATGTTTAAATGTTTTTCCTTCAAGATATGTATTTCTAAATGTATCCAAACATTTTTTCACGATAGTATACACTTATGAAATAACTGAAGTTGAACACCTTACAAAGAATCATCCATATTGCCGGCGAAGATGAGAATCTTGTTACGCTTAAATCGTTCAAAGAAACCTCAATCTATAGAACCCCAGTAAAATTGACAGGCGAGTTTTGCCAGTCTCTCGACCGTCACGGAGCTTAACTCGTTAAACTTTGCGACTACCCATGTAACTGGTTGAAATGAATCTCTTGAATTTAACGGAAAATTAAAAGCTCATCGACCCACGCAGGTTCTGTTACTTAGTACGTAACTTGATGGTTTCGTTGATTTAATTGGTAGAGTGCTGCGATGTTATCGCCAGAGTTGCGAGTTCGAATTCCTCAAAATACCTGAAATAGGTACGGTGTCACCTAGCATCAAAAAGACTTCGCGGTTGCCAACCATGTTGGAGACGTTCTTTTTCCATTTTCTTTAATTTCAGTTCGAAAGGCTGAGTGAAAATGTTCTTTACCAGGCCTTTGCCTGATACAAACAAACCATTTTTCTTGTGTGCGACTCTGAAATACTGGAAAGCCGCTTGTCAACATATAAAATCTTAAAGATACACTTTGAAAAAACAGGATTTGAGTTCCTTGTCCAATGCGGTTTAGAAAGCTAACTGATGAAAGAGTATAACTAACTGATTTCGAAAAACCTCGAAAATTTACCAAACGTAATTAATCTTAAATTAAAAAAAAATTTGTTCGAATTCTTAAAAAATCAAGAAAAGGCGTTCCCACGTTTTACTTTAAGATTTAAGCTCAGAGTCTGAAAAGCTTTGGACCACGACAATAACTTAAATTTGAGTTAACGAGAATGCCGTTTCTATAAGTGGATAATATTACCGCAATTTGTTTTCACAAAGCTAAATGGAACGGCTGTGTGTGCAGAGATACCAGTAGTACTTAGAAACCGTTGTGGTTTTTTGGATGAGACACCAGCACAACCTGCTTCTGCGCTATGCTGTTTACTGATGAGCAACCTCGCGTAACATAAACATTTAAGTTAACTAACTGAAAAGATACGCTGCGTTGTTGTGGGGAGAAACTGTTACAAATGTCATGCTTGGGTAGCGAAAACCTAACTTCAAAACGATGAGGAGTCGAAACCCTTGCTTTCTCTGGGTGATTGGAAGCTTATTCATGTGTCTTCCTATACTAATCTATCTGGCGTCGAGAACAAAAGTGATTCATCAAAGCAAAGACAAAGAGGGAGAAAGAGATCACCACGCTTTTGATATCAAATACATTGAATTCTTCTCGGTAAGGTAAGACAAGTATCATGTTATACGGCATGAGCAGAGATAACTAGCAAATTTAAACAAATGATCGGATGGTGTCAAGTAAATTGCTACGGGTCGTTCAGTCACGTCTTTGGCGACTGTCAACCATAATGTGTATCTCTGTTTATCAGCGAAATCAGCCACTGAGTTACAAGGTTTTTTTTTTTTTTTGATTGTGAGTATTCTAGTGTAGGAAAAGGCAATTTAAACGCCCACCACACATTAATAGACAATTGATTTGTCTCCAGTCTTAAAGCCTGAGCACCTTCTATTTTTGAAGAATTGCTCTCATCTACTCAGAAATAGAGTTAATGTCGCAGATAATTTATTGACAAAAGAGTAACAAACGTAGTAGCCTATTGCCAGAAATGTTTAGTAATACTAAGTTGTCTTCTTGGTCCAATAGTCCGTTAGACAGACACTGAAGCGGAAGCGTGTGACTGAATTCTACAACACGATAATATGACAAGTTGTCACATGACACTGTTTGCTTAGTTTGACCTATTTTCAATGCACTTGACATAGACCTTCACAGCTTGTTTACTTGGACAAGAAAGGCTATCGTTTAGCGCTGGACTCTTCAGATGAATCCAACTACATTGAAGCAAAAAGCGGTGTAATAGACAAAACCAGTGAAAACTTCGACGCTAAAAGTAATAGTTCAAATGACAGCTCACAGGCGAGATTTGTGAGCAATGACAGTTTCATGAATGCTTATGAAGAAAATGAAGCTAAAGGTGACGCCGAGCGAGATGAAAGTATTGACTACAACATGGGATGGGAGGAGGTCCAAGAGGAACCTAAGAGGTAATGATCTAATCCTTAGTCTGATAAAGGTTAATTTAATGTCAGTTATTCAACAATTATGTCTTAGGTCCTCATTGGTCGCCCTACCCCAGATAAGCCGAATTAAAGCTTACAAAATTCATAAGATTAACTAATTTTTTTCACTTACCAAACCCTTGCTAAGAGAATGCATAGTCTGGCTTAACTGTGGATGGCATAGATAAATATAATCCGGCTCTGAGAACTGCATCTGAGCCAAGCGTGAGGAACTACTAAGACGATCCAGATCAAATCAGCCGTTTTCAAATTTTTTCCGTCGGCAAACTACAATTAAATTTTACACAATAAATGCAAGGCCTTAATCTCTTCAGGCAGTGGCCATGTTAGCTTTTGCATAGAGCAATTCCTTGGTACCACCCAGTCTTTGATCATCCATCTGTGAAGAGCACAGCCGTGGGACACGAATTTACGACTGTGTAAGTGTCCTTCATCTTGCACTCGTCCATTAAAAACTTGTTCTCCGTTTATTGTTTAGAATTCCTTGTGCCTCAAAGCGTCCATTCGTGAACTTAGTGCTTTTAAGGACTCATCGAACGGGGAGTGGAACACTTGCAAACATTTTATACAGATATGGCGACTTGAACGGCCTGGATTTTGCTCTTCCTAAACAGAAAAGCTACGATTTTTATTGGCCGCTACACTTTAATCCAAGCTACGTGGATAAAAAGTACCTGAATTCGACAGCCCCAAACTTACTCATAAATGCTAGATACAGCCCTGATACAATACCATCCTTCATGCCAGAGGTACCTCATCATGATACTTGCTTGATACAGACCCAAATAATTATCCATCTTCCTTTGTTAGCCTTCAGGGAGAGGTGGAGAAAGATGAGGCCTTTTACCCCACTTTGGGCTCCATAACAGCGCTGAAGAGAAGACTTCCATACAGTCGTTAATTTTAACAAAACAAGTTGCTCCCTGATCGATTTATTCTCCCATCACTCGCCTATTTTGGTAAAAACGGCTTTCATTAGTTCAGCCAAAGACTGATTTAAATCAGACATATGGGGCCTTTCACTGAAAATATTTTCTTTACCGCACAACAGCTTTAAAAGAACGGCGTATTTCACATTTACGATGCTATCCTTTGTCATTATGTTTCCTTGTTTGTTGTTTAGTCGGTCTACTTGTCTTTCACTTTCTCGTTTATTTTTCTATATCTGCAGAATTTGCTTTTGAGTCAAGTTATTTTCATATTTTGTTTGTCTGTTCGTCTTGCCTTTCACTTTCTTTCAATGTTTATCCACTTTAACACTATTTTGTGATACAATTTGGAAATCCTTCTAAAGCTAACACAATCGAATAAACTATTAAAGCGGCCGTGTGGGTTCAAACTCTGTCGGACTCGGTAAGTAAACTGAGATTAGTCCCACCATCCCAGCAGTCATCAACTCATGGTTTCATTAACTTACACTTATATCTGCAGGACTCGTACTACATCGCAATCATAAGGAAGCCAACGAGTCATTTTGAGTCTGTCTTTTACGGATATCAAATTGACGATTTACTCGGCATGAACAACTATAGCGACCCATTTGATGCATTTTTGACCAAACCCAAGCAGTATCTGTTACAGTATCTTCATCAGGAGCCACGATTTGATATCAACATTAACATGGTAAAGAATGGTAAGTGATAATTCGATACATGATCATAAATATTTATCTGGATGATTTGGCTGCTGGAGTTTTGATGACCTCTACGTTCATTAACCTGAACGTTTTGAAAAGGCAAATAACTGGCGCCAATTTTCTTTAATTCCTGACTGAATTGTCTTTATTTGTCTCGTCAAAGTATTCAGTCACTTGTTGCAAAGTTTACCCGCAGTTTTTCATCATCTTTGCTTCTGCCTGATTTTTTCCCTTCTCTAACGTCATTCATTTATATCGGTGTTGCTAGGAAACAGCTTCAAACTGAATGTGTCGAAATACTTCTGTATCTATAATGTATATAATGAAACCTAACAGTAATGTCCGCACTCTCTTCAGGACAAACGTTCGACCTTGGCCTTCAGCACAAATATTACAACGACCCAGTGATGATAAAAAAGCACATTAGTGACCTGGCCGAGAAAATAAACTTAGTGCTTCTCATGGAGTATTTTGACGAATCTCTCGTTTTACTCAAAAGAGAACTCTGCTGGGATTTAGATGATGTTGTTTATTTCAAACTGAATCAAAGATCTCCTGAATACAAAGAGACAAACATAACGGATCAGCAACAGGTAAGCGGTACTGCCCATTTCTGTGCATTCTTATTAATCCAATTGTTTATCAAAAGTTGTAGGCAGCACTTTTTTGTTAAAAATTTTTACAAAACAAAAAGTAGCAACAGTTTCTTTCCACAAAATAACACAAATAGATTCCATGTTTCCATGAGTCGGCACCGTTCTGATAGCACTTAGGTAGCACGGAAAGCCGCAAAACTCTTGAACAAAGGTTCATCTTTCAAACCGGCAGTCTAAATCCCACAGGTATTAACGAAAGCTTTTCATTCCACTAATTTATTCGTGTTTTTCTCGCTGCCATGTTCCCACCAATAACGTAGCTCCATTTTCTACCTTTAAAAGCACACACAACCCACAATTCCTCTATTCGCTCTGACGAAGGGCTAACGCTCGAAACGTCAGCTTTTATAACCGTAACGATGGCCAATTTACCATTTCAACTTTGTTGATCTATTCAAACAGTTCTGATAGATCACGGAAGAAGTCAAAATGTGGTAGAAGAACACCAGTGCCTCACTCGGCTGTACCTAATGCGCCTCCTTTCCTTGCTCTTTCCACATTTTTACGTCATCTAAGTTCTATTACTCAACCGGCGTGCGGCAACATGGAATCCATTTTGTTATGATACTGACCAGGCACGATTCCTCCGTGCTTTGCTTTACTTTCAGATGCGAATTGATGAATGGAATAATGCTGATGTTGCCTTATACGACTTTTTTAACAAGACATTCTGGAATAAAATTTCCGCGCAAGACCAAACCTTTTATCAAGAAGTTGATAAGCTACGTGCCAAAGTGAGGAGCCTGGAGAAGGAATGTATTCACTCACTTGAAACGAACCGTGATACAGGAGAAGTAGAAATCAGACTAAATGAGCATACGATTCCGGACATGAGCAGATATTTGTGTGAGAAAATGACTCTGAAAGAGGAGAGTTATATTTCATATCTGAGGAAGAAATATAATCTGAAGTTCAAGGATTACAACGAGCGTTTAAGAAACTGGTTTTATGAAAAGTTGAATAAGACAAGACTTGACTTGTAAATAATGACGGTAATCACTTCGTATCCTAATATTACCACAAATATGTTGTAAATGTAATAGAGCGTTTTTTGTAACATACATGAAGCAAAGCAAATATTTTGTATTTAGAGAAACCAGCCCGACTACAGTATGCATGATAACTATTTTTTTATGGTCCTCGACTTTGTCTGGGCTATAAAAATGCAAAAAAGAACTTGGCCAAAATCCAGCCATCTTGACCTCATGCTTGGTTAATAACGTAAATATTATGTCCCCCACCGCCATCTACTTCTCTCCTTCTTTCCCCTCCCTTTCCTAGGACCAGCTTATTTCTCTTCTACTTTGACTTCGCAGTCTGCCATCTTTAATATCTTGTCGTTGTTAGGATACATTTTTCAGGAACAACCTTGGAAACTTGTCAACATTGCTTTCATAACGGCTTTGAACATTGTATTGTTTCTTGACGACAAACCTTGTTTCTGCAAACACGTTTCTCATTATTAAAAAACATTTGCCTCCAAAACTATGTTTCAAAGTCACAATATATTCAAGAGCACGAGTCGTGCATGCCTCTGAATAGAGCGGAAATGAGTCATGATATTCTTTGGATATGTTTTTTCGCTTCGAATGAGTTTTCACGCCTTAAAAAGCTCGGTTTCTGTTGAATTTATACAATCTTTAAGGGGTTGGATCTCCATCCCCTACATTTCGTCCCTCTTTGTCTTGGACAGAAATAAAGACTAAAGATTTCTTCTGAGAAAAGATTGATATTCTTTCTTTTCGAAGTTGTTTACGCTATTCAGTTTCGAAGATACGTATGCAAATTGTTCTCAATTTAGGAAAGACATAAGTTAAAATTGAAAAAAAAAAGGATCATTATCAATAGCTGGGAACAGACCCTTATATAAAACTACCATGACATTTTATTCAAAACCCCCTTATGTAAATCATCATCGTTACATAGCGACAA